GCTGGTGGCTGAGGCCTACAAGGAGATCGACACAGCGGCCGTCAAGGGCATCATCCACGCCAACACCGCCGCCCGCCGCAAGGCGCGCGTCGCGAGGCACAAGCAGCAGGTGCGCGGGCCATGCGCGGCGCGGCGCAGTGCAGCCGGCGCGGCGAGGCCCGGCCGGCGCCGCCTCACATGCGCGCCTCGGTGCGCCCGCCAGCGCACGCCCTCCTTGTGCCCGCGTTGTTCTGACAGGGTTGCTGATCTGGGCCCGGCCGTCCTGTCTCTCTCTCGCGCCCCCTCACTGTTCAACACCGGCACCGGCTGAGCGGCTGCCTCAACCCCTCTCGCAACCCGCCGCGCCCCGCCCCTGGCGCGCCGCCCTATCCACACCCCCCAGGTGCTCATCAGCGCGGGCCTCTACACCCCGGCCCCCGAGCACCCCGGCTTCGCCTTCTACCAGCGCGTGCAGGCCGCCAAGGCCAAGGCCGCCGGCGCCGCCAACTGAGCGGCCCCGTCCGGCCGGCCGGCCGCTTCGCCAGTGGAGGCTCGCTGGCGGGGCAATGGCGGCGGCGGCGGCATGCAGCAGCGGCGGGAGCGGCAGCGGTTTTGGTGGGGTTTTGACTCTCCTCTTTGAATGCTCTGTGTTACTGAATTGAGTAACGTTCAACGCACCCAATGGACACACATACACACACACACACACACACACATACACACACATGCGCGTGCTGATGAGCAACGGCACGATGGGAAAGAGCGGATGCCAGTAAGAGCCCGCCCACGAGACAGCTTGCGCCGCAGTGAACGGTTGAGGAGAGGCGCGCTGGCGCCAACCTCGTCGCCTCAATGCGCGTGCGACGCTGCACCAGCCGCGCCACAGCCGGCAGGGGGCGAGCCAGCCGGGGGCCAGGGCGGCGGGCAAGGGGCGCCCCTCAGAAGGAGCCTCCGCTGGCAGCTGGTGCTGAGGTGGCGTGTGCAGTGTGGCGACCGGCCCGACAGAGCGCACGCTGTGTGCAACGCTGCATATAGCGTCATGGACATAGGCTCACATGATAGACGCGGGCTTACATCAGCGGGGGCTTGAAAACAACTCGATTCCGATCGGCAAGCAAGGCCAGCACACCCTGCAGGTCTGGCGACGCTATGTTCGCTGCTGCCGCCGCCGCCGCAAGTGCGCCGCGCTACCGCTGCCCGTCCCCCCCGCCGGCGCCCTCCCTCCCGGGCAGCTCCCCTGTTGCGTGCAGCCTGAACAGCTGAGCGCTCCTGCAGTACAGCGGGTCCCGCTCCAGCACGGCGATCAGATCGCGCGCCGTGATCTGGACCGCCGCGGAGTGATCTTGACCGCCGCTGCCGCCGCCAGAGCCCGCCGCGGAGGAGGAGGTTGTCAGGGAGGCCTCCGCCGCCATCAGCTGCTTCATCTGCTGCTGCAAGGACGGCGCCGGCCGCAGCGCCGCGGCGGCGGCCCTGGCCTTGGCGGACGCCGCCGCGCCCGCGCCCGCGCCCGCGCCGGCGCTGCCCGCGCG